TGCATGTGCACTGAATGTTCTTCAGCAGTTCAGTGGAAGTGGTATATCTGATTCTGATTAAAGTGTCCTTTGAAAAACCTTGTTGCCAATTAATTCAGTGGTCTCAAAGGGAAAATGCTTTTATAATACATTTCAGTGACTAGTTTCTAAAATATCTCATATTTGTCTTTTATAGATAAAATGCTATTGATTTAACCATGATTTTTCATTGAGTAAAAAGTTTTCATTTAAAGAGAGCAATCAGTGAGGGAAAACAACATCAATCATGAAATCTAGACAGACACCATTCATGTAGAAAACAATTATTACCTGTTGTGATTATCTCTGCATTATTAAAAAATAGCAATTAATAAAATTACATGCCTTTAAGTTTAAAAATAATATGCCATGTAAAATTATTCACCTGTGTCCAATAATGTCCCATTTTGTTACATTACAAATAATGTTCACACATTTGTTAATGTGAATACTGTTATTCAAAATTTGAATACTCAAACTGGGTGGAAAAAATTGCCAACAACTACCGCAAAGACAAATCATTTTTTTTTACAATCCTATAAAAACTAAATATCAATACTGGAATATATTGATTGTGTAAGCATTCACCCCCTTTACTGCAACACGCCTAAATTAGTTCAAGCACACAAAATCACTTTAACTGCATGCAATAATGCACATGCTCCACACGATTTCAGAATTAATACTGTATATTAGCTGTCTCAGTAAGTTTCTGCCTCTGCCAGGAAATCAATTTTAAGCAAAAGGGGATGCATGTGCATTTATATATGGCCTATGAATATATTTAGAGAAGAACATAAGAAAGTCTACAAAATAGACCTATCTGGTTGTGCTTTAGATAAATAAGTGAAGAATTTAATTCAGTCTTTTAATGAAGAGTCGGCATCAAAAAGGAAGTTGGGAAACTTGTTTCATCTACAAAGAAGTGTCTATTTCCAGTCCTAAACGCAATAACAAATGCAGCCGCTGTTAATTCCTGCTTGTGACCCTGGGTCCTCGGTTCAGTGTTGAGTGTGAAGCTGTCTTTGGATTGACTTGGTCAGCACTCAGGAGGTTTCTGAAAGCCTGAATCAAATCTCCTCGAGATCTTTTCAGCTCAAGACTAAATAGATTCTGTTTCTCGAACTTGTCTGTGCAGGCAAGTCTTCTGAGACTGTGAGCTCAAATTGCTTATCTTTGAAGTCGTCCTAGGAGCAATATTACTTTTGCAACACAGTGACCAAAAGTAAACACATTTGAACTGAGCTCTTGCTAGAGCATGGTACATTTTTCCCTTTATTTAGATGCTTCCATTGATATAAATACATTTTCCTATTACTTGTCGGCATTAACATTAATCAGGAAGAGCAGTGGGCCTAAGATAGATTCCTGTGGTGCCCCACTAATTGTCTTATCACTAAGTAAGATTTGTTCACTTTTAATACTGCAATCATTGTGCACATCAATCATCTACTATTCAATGTGCATTTCTTGTACAGGGGATCTTAAAATCAAGATTGTCTTTTTTGTGTGAAATGTCATCAGATGCCTGATGGTAATCAAAACTACCTAATTTACAAAATCAATTTTATGGATCAATGATCATCCTTTGAACACTGATAACATCTAGTTTGGCATTTATTTGAGTTATAAAGTTTCTAGAGTAAAACACATAACAGCAGTAAGACTAGTCTTGAACTACCTGTTCTGTTTTGTCTGGCTTTTTGTGTACAAGTTGCAATTTTCTTGGGGGAAAAACCCTTGTGTTGACTCTCTATTCAGAAACCGTCATTTAAGGAATTACAGCACACATTAGAATAGAACTGGTTAATTTACACCAGAATGATTTTGTCAACTGCCTCATCCAAGATTTTCTAACAAGAACATTACAGCATTTTAGCGTTAGAAAAAACACAAGATTTTAAAAACAGTAGGCAAGAAGTAAACAGAACAAGACTCTCCATGAAACACTCTTGCACTATACTAAAAGGCTCTTTAGTGAAGAGAAGACATGTTAAAATCATTCATTTTAAGGACTCCAGCAAAAGTTTTAATCCACACAGGATCTTGCTGATTACAAACACAAAAATTACATTCATAAATTACTTTATGTACAATTTAGAATCAAGAGGAAAAATCTGAAATAGGTGTACTTCATGCTATGTAGGGATACTGTAAGAATACAGAACAAAAGTTCTGTAAAAATCCTTAATGAGGCATTCATGTGTTTCCCTGTTAACCCCACAGCCTAACCTAAACTTAGTTTAAAATGTGTCTCCCATGTCACTTTGCAGGCTTTGGTCTTGAACATCTGGATGTGGCTTGAACTTCACAAAGATTTATAACAGATGCACATTCATCTGTCTCAGTATCTGATACACAAAACAGGAGATTCACTTTTGTTAGATTTGAAGAATGCAGAATCACCACCTAAATAGGATACAATCCTGACATGTAATTATATTCCGAACAATGAGTCATCTCCAGATTTGTAAATTATGCACCTGTGTCTTAACGAACTAGTTCTGAGTAGAAGATACATCAATGGCAAAATAAATAAACTACTACAGACAGCACAACATTATCAGCTCTCCTCATTAATCTGTCTGAAACCGATATCTTTCAGGAACCTTTCAGAAGGGTTATTAAGAAAGCTACTTGTCCCAGTGAGCGCTGTGGAAAACTGGAGCCTGCCCTGGAAGCACAGGACAGGAATGAAGACACAGGAAACTCTCCCTGGGCAGGATGCCAGTATATCCCAGAGCCATAGAAAAAGGAAGCAACTCGAATATCCAATCAATCCAGCATGTCTCAGAAAGGGAGAGGAAACTAAAGAGAAATTGCCTTGGGCCCAAAACGAATCACACCCAGGAGATCAGACCAGTTAAAAAGGAGAGGCAGACCATTCTATGTAGATAGCAGGCAATCTAGCCATTTAGTAGTAAGCAGCTAATTGAGAAAGATTCCATACAGCTGTTTCTTGAGACAAGCCAGGGTCTCAGCCTTAACAGCATGGCTGGAGAGCTTGTTCCAGACGCCCACAACCCTTAACCTATGAGCTGTGAGGCAGCAGCTCAAACCAATGTACCACAGTGCCGTTTCGAAAACTTTCAATGTGTCCTTATGATGGAATAAATAGGTGAATACAATTTATATATGGAATGTATTACACTATAAGACCAAAGAATAATAATGTAATGATAATGTTAATAATAATTATAATGTTTCTTTATTAGAATAGGTTCCTGTATGCAGTTATTTGATGTTGCTCTAAATCAGGTTGTAAAAAATCGGGATAACATTATATAACATATAACATCATCCAGGTGGGGCTGCACATTGGTGGTGGTGGAGGGGAGTCCCCATTACCTGTAAAGTGCTTTGAGTGGAGGGTCCAGAAAAGCGCTATATAAGTGTAAGCAATTATTATTATTATTATTATTATTATTATATCGCACGGCCAAGGGTAGGGGTAGGATTGGTCGGATATCAGTGCTCAGCGACACAGTGATCCCTGCACCCTCTAAGCCCCTTGCAGGAAAGGGAGGGCACCTCTCCTCCAATCTGAGCTGAATCTCCAGTACGGGACTGTGGTGCCTCTCATGTGTTAAAACGCAAATGACCTGAAGGTCATTTACAATTCTTCACTCTCCCCCGTGTGCGGTCACAGGGTCTGTAGCTGCGAGTCGAGATGTGAAAAACACAATTTGCCAATTGGTGATTCCAAGTTGGATGTTTATAATAAACCACTTTTTAAAGACTATTTTAATACTTCTATTTGAAAAAAAAAGGAGGTGAAAAAATATTTTTGGAAACAGCTTTTTGTCACCATGGATATCTTTCTATGGTTATGTTATGTGGTATGCTTGTAATCAACTCCAGGAAATGTGAAGAAAGTTAATTAATGAGTAAAATTTAAAATAAAGTTTAAAGGAAAAAGTCATTTAAATTTAAGAAAGATTGGATGTTAAAGGGTTATTTTTGGTTTTAGCATCCTGTCAATGTTTACACGACTAAGCTTTGTTGAATGTTTGCAAGAGATCCTTCCTTTTGATTGTCCTCAGTTTCAAAGTCAATGACGGTACACAGACTACTTTATTTTTGACCAGTTAGTTACAATTATTAACAATAATCACTGACAACACTAAAAGGATATCTACTGTACCATGTTGTACTAGTCAATAGCAACCATTCCATAAAAACATTACTCCTAAAGAACTCAAGTGCTTTCAATAAATACTCTGATAGTGTCATCCATGTGCACCTATGACGCAAATATTAATATCCACTGATTCTCATACCACAACATAAACAAGCAGTTACCAGGGTCCCCTGCTTGAAAATGACTCAAAATGCAATCCTTTATAGGGTTTAGGGTTTAGAGGTTCCTGAAATCTCGCATTTCAAAAACACGTAGATGTTCAGTAAGACAATGTAATACAACATGTAGTCAGACTGGATGTCTTTTCACCAAAACATCCAACAAAAGCAAATATTTGCAGAAACATCCGACTTAATTTGGTAAACAGCTTATAGTCCTCCCAGACACTCTCAAGGATAATTATTCCATTTCCTGACAAAAAGAGAGATGTGTTTACCTTTTTAATTTGCTTCAACAGAGAATAATGTATGTTACAATGAAAACATTGGAACACACACAATATGGAAAGTTTATGAACTGCACAGAAAATGTCTGTTTATACCCAGAAGGGCACCATCTGGACTGTCTTCTTAAGCGTGGTTCTTTTCTTTGTGTTTTCCTTTGATGTTCCTTTAAGCTTTTTCTTGCCATATACACTTACCAGGAAGACAGAGATGCATCCGTTTAGGTTTCCTGACCTAGGATTGGTGAGTAACATTGAGGAACAGTGTTCCTCTGCAACTCTGAGGAACAGTTTCTATTTTCCGTTTTACAATCTTGATCACTAGTGAACCGCATCGGCCATCTGTGCCGTGTTTGTGCCTGCTAATATTAACATCCATGTGTCAACACATGTACCTACCTGCCACAGGAACTGCCTCTTCTTTGTCATGCTCCTCGTGCCACTCCATAGTTCGATGGTAACTCAGCATCACTTCCCACAAGGCTTTGCACAGATCAGTGAGGCATGGTATGTAACTATCTGGAGTAATGTGCTGTTGAAAACAAGGCAGAACAAGAAAAATATTAAAATTCACAACATAATATTAAGACATAACAGGCAAGCTTAAGCATACGTATGTATTACACAGGGTAGTATAACGTTAATTACTATAAATAAATTAAACACTAAAAAAAGACAATACAGTGATAAGAGACAAGACAACCAGTAAGGCTCCTGTGTTGGAGGCATACTAAACAATCAATTGCTAAATCCTGGATTTGTATAGACTAAAACAAATGAATGTTTTTAATTGGTATTTCAATACACAGAATGCTTTTTATGTACAAATTGTATGAATAACAGTATTGTGAAGATCCCAGCTTCATAAAGCCTAAAGTGTTTATGCTTACAACAAAAAAAACAATTTAGGTTTTTTTTTATCAATACTGAACATAGTTAAGAACAAACAGATTTATACTCCATTCTTAGGTTCACCTTTAAACTCAGCAACAGGACAGCAGGAATACGGAACTTATTTTGAAACAGGACAACTGAGAAACATGAAAACACAATTCTGGTCAACCATTTGTAAGAGTAGGTATGTTAATCCCGGTGTCGTGGCCGGTACAGAAAACGTATAACCATTTTGCAATTGGTGCATTTATTTTAACCCCAGTGGCCTGACTAAATTTCACTCTGGGCTTCACTAAATTACAGTAGCTCCTTAATCTAACTGCTGAAGTAATTTCTCATTTCTCTGCTTGACCTGCTGGGGGTTGCATAAAAGCTCCATCATCCAGGTGGGTCCAGCATTTCAGAGGCGGGTGATTTAGGTTCTCTCCCATGTGTAAAGTACTTGAAAATTCTTCATGAAAAGAATTGTATAAATACAAATAATCATTAATTAACTTGCTGATTAATTTACATATTTAAAGGCAAAGGCTTCTATAAAGAAATATAACCATTCACTTTAGAAAATGTAATCTTTCCACAACTCATGCTTACTGTCCCCAGAGGAAATAAGAGGATCAGTGAGACTGTGTGTAATATGTGTCATAAATGTAAATCTAAAAAAACAAAATGTATATTTTGCCAACTTGATTTATTGGTGCAATAAGACTATATTTCACCTCAATCACAAACCAAAAAGCTATTATTATCAGGTTGCATGCAATTCTTACTTTAATGTACCCTGTATTTATTTTCACAATGAAGTTTTACAACATTGCTTAACATTTCTAGCCTGCTAGTTTGGAAGGGTATTCTGACCCTTCCAATGGTCTCCCAATAAGTGAAATTGCAAAATGATGGATCCATGTTTTTAAAATGAATAATTTGTTTTCGAAACCTGAACGCTCAAGCTGACAGCTTCTAAGGGAAAGATAAGTTAATGTAAATGTCAGCAAAAACTAATTAAAACATTTAACTATGTTGATTGCGGAAGTAATTGGAACTACCAAACTCAATATTTGCTGAAAATGCTTTTTGCAGCAATTCCAGCCACAAGTCTCTACCTAATTTGCATACCGGCCTGGTGTAAATGTTGCCCTTCTTGGCAGGTTTGTAAATGTTACTTGGGGATTGCTTACGGACAGCAGTTTTCAAGTCTTTCCACAGAGTTTCAAAAGGATTCAAATCAGGAATTTTGACTGGGCCACTCAAGAGCAGTCACTTTCTCATTCTTAAGCTTCGCCATCTCTAGCTTTGGCCTTGTGCTTTGGGTCATTGCCATGCTGGAAGATGAAATGTCCCTATTTTAGGTCTGCAGCAGGTTTTTCTCTGTGATCTGCCAGTACTTCGTTCCATCGATCTTCCCATCAGTCTCGACAAGCTTTCCAGTCCCTGCTAATGAGAACCACAACTATAACAAAAGACTGCTGCTATCGAGCGTGACAGTGTTGCCTGAGTGATGCAGTACAGTGAGTTTGGATCAGATAATAATGCTTTGCATTTAGACCAAAACATTCCAGTTGTGTCTTGTCTGACCACAATACCTTCTGCCACAAATTCCAAGAATCAGGTTGGTGCCGTATGTGGGATTTGAGATGTGTTTTTCAGTTCCACACAAGGCACCCTTTGTGGAGCGACTGGGATATTGTGGACCCATAGAAAGTCACTCCCATCTTAACCACTGAACTCTGTACTCTTTCCAAGCCGCAGTTTGCCTCACAGTGGCATCCCTAAACAGTTTCCTCCCGCCTGTCTGCCCAGTTCGGAGGGACAGTCTGATCTAGGCAATGTTTGGGTTCCACATCTAAAAGACTGACATGCTCAAGGACATATTAGGAGTCTTTGATATATTTTATGCTCTTCTCCTAATCTGTGCCTTTGTACAACCTTATCCTTGAGTTGCTTTGAAAGCTCCTTGGACTTAATGGCTAAATCCTTGCTTGAAATTCACAACTATACCTCACTAATGCAACCTTACAGGGATAAGAGTACTTATTCTGAAATTGTGTGTAATAGTGAAATCACCACTATTACTGCACACAGACTGAGGCTCACTAAGGTAATTTTGTGCACCTTCATTAATTTAGGCTTGTTACAGCAAAGTATTTGAATACTCATCCAAAGACACCTTTTCCATCTTTCTTTACTGAAATTTGAATGTCTAAGGTTTTAATGTATGTACAGTTGCTGTCAAAACTGTGGTATTGACAGTAAAGAAAGACAGCTACTGTCTGTATTGACAGCTACTTTAAATACATTAAAACCTTTGACATTCAAACTGGAATTACAATACAGCACATGCAGTTGGCACTCTATGGGAATCTGAAGGTTATAAAAATCTGTCAATTTTTTTATAAGAAGGCCTCGAGTGGTTTGATTAAATATGCACAAATTAAAAAATGAAACACACATGAGAGGTTAGGGTATAAAGAATACATCGGTCTCTGTGGTGGGAAAAAGTTATAATCAAAATGAAACCCAATAAGCAAAAAGGAAAGGATTTGACTAATATCTGGCTGTAGAAAAGCAAAATTAGTGAGAGGCCTTCTGAAGAAAAGGCCAAGACATTGTAAGTTTTCATGCTGGTATTTTTCATATTTCACTTCAGGCCTTTTAACAAGAAACTAGCCAAGTGGCTGTACTATACTGTTTTCAAATAGGCAATGTTATTTTTACCACAGTTGCAGTCCTGGACTACAATTACAGACACATTTATCTTTTTTTGGATCTTCTGTCAACACAAATGAGCTCACATCATCCCTTTATTTAATTGAGCCAACCAAGGTCTCCACTAACTTTTAAATTCCATAAATTACTCTACTCCAGTGAGAATACCACATTTCTTACACAGAGGCCAAAAAAGCAAATAGCAACACAGCTTATGCTGTGGAAAAGTTAATAGAACGTTGAATTTATTTCATTGAATTTTTACATCAGACATCTTACTTACTTCTTACTCCCCTGTGACTAAGGCCTGGGCCTTTTCCCTTCTTTTTATGACTTTGCTACCCAATTTAGTTCTCCAAGCACAATATGTCACTTTGGCCTCCGCAATACCAAAGTAATTAGCAATTAATCAACTATCTTACCATTATTTTAAACAAAGGATTGATTGACTTCCTGCTCACAACACATATATATGCAGGTCAAAAACTTGTCATGAGCGTTTCATTACTATTTCAGTAATGTTAATTTAATTAACGCCCATTATTATTTTATTATTAGGCAAAACTCCCAGGTTCTTCAGAAGTTTACATGGCATTGATATTTAGATGCACCAAATTCTGGTGAGCCCGTGAGCATATCCAAGCAATCATCTGTGTAATTAACTTAATTTTCCATAATTGGTTTCTTTTTACTGTCAGGACAGAATACCCATTTTAAGGAGAAAAAACAACAGCAAGATGTCATGCAGAACAGAAAAACAGATTTGTGCTAATGGATCCCCCCCAAGTCACCATTCTGTTCCTGTTGTTAAAATCAGGAAAAAGACCAAGCAAATCTAACCCTCAGCATAAAGCAGCGAGCATTTGCTCAGGGTATGGACACTGACCCGGCAGAGTTTGTTATATCCAGATGAGCAACGTTGTGCTTCTGCCTAAGTAATGAACTTTCAAACTATGAACACGAATTTGAAAAGCGATTTAACTTCCAGGTGGCACTGTGGTGCACTGCTGCCTCACAGCACTGGGGTCCTGGGTTCAATTCCTGGGGTGCTGTCTGTGTGGAGCTTGTATGTTCTCCCCGTGTTCGTGTGGTTTTCCCCCAGTCCAAAGACATACTGGTAGGTTCATTGGCCCTGGAGTGAGTGTGCCCTGTGATGGACTGGCATCCTCTCCAGGGTGTATCCTGCTTTGCGCCCACTGTGTTCCAGGATAGGATCCGACCCTTAATTGGACGAAGTGGTGAGAAAACAAACGGACGGATTTAACTTCCAGACTCTGTGGGTGGGGTCGCTTGCCGGCTTGGCCACTTCACACTTCATGTACCTTTATTTCTCTCGGGTTATTCACTTGTTTTAATTTTATACTAGGAAGTAATGCATGAGAGGAAGTAGCAGGGAATAATATTGTATGTCTTAAAATAAATGGATTATCAGAAAAACAAAACCAGTAACTATGTTCTGTTTTTCTTTGTAAAAGGAAAGATGCAGCATGATGCTTGTTAATGTCCTACAAGGTCCAAAACATATGCCCCATTTTGTCAAAGTTCAAAGGTACTAAACATCCTTACTCTCCCAACTCAAATTTGACAACAATCAATCAGAGTATAAAAATCTACTCCAAAGAGTATAAACAACTAATTTCTTTGAAATACTGAAAACCGGTTTCTCCGTTTTAAGCATACTCTTATAACCCATTTCAAGACAATTCTCACATATGAGTCCATTTTCTTACAAAGACAAGATACTTGGACTTATGTCTTCCACTCCTGGGTAAAACTCACAATATTAAGAGAGAACAAAGACAGACGAACCGTCAATGACCTTTACAGCAAAGGGACCCAGGTGAAATGGCATCCTAGAACTTGATACCTCGAATAAATGTTACAATCTATTAAGCATAGCATTAAACAAATCGAAAAACTCTTCAATCTGAAACC